TTTGTGGTCGTTCTTGTGGTTGTGTGTTTGTTGTTGTGTGCTGTGGTTGAGGTCCGGCAGGGAACACTGGGCGTGGATGGTCGTGGTTGAGGTCGGGCAGGGAACGCTGGGCGCAGATGGTTGTGGTTGAGGTCCGGCAGGGAACGCTGGGCGCGGATGGTCGTGGTCGAGGCCCGGCAAGGAACACTGGGCGCGGATGGTCGTGGTCGAGGTCCGGCAGGGAACACTGGGCGTGGGAGGTTGTGGTTGATGTCCGGCAGGGAACACTGGACGTGGATGGTCGTTTTTGAGGTCCGATGGGGAACACTTGGGTCTGGAGCTCGCGGTTGAGGTCCGGCAGGGAACACTGGACGTGGATGGTCGTGGTTGAGGTCCGGCGGAGGAGGACGAGGAGGAAAAGAATGAGAAGGAGAAGGAGAAGGAAGGAGATGGGGCTGACATAAAATCTAACAACCCTCACCTGACAGGTGGGAAAAACTTCCCTGCTGTGGGAACCAGTTCGGCTTGAACATGCTTAATCCATGCGGTGTGTCCGCGAAAGCCGCAGCGTTGACCACAACACCTGACGAGGCGAATGTTTAACAAAAACACTCAGTGGTTGATCTGCCGTCAGAGATTCAGAATGCATTGTTTTACATTGCAATCTGAAGTGTTTCTCTTGTGTGTGTGTCTTCGTAGTCCTCCATGTCGAGGCTCTACCTGCTAGAGGATGAGAACTACAAGATGCCACCTATTTGGGTGTTATGATGGTGTGGCACCAGTGGGCGGTGGCACCAGTTTTTCCATGTTTTTTTTTTGCGTGGGTTTTTCGCTGAAAGGAAGACCTGTTCAAGGGAAGGGATGAACACGAAGGGAAGAGAACCATGAAACAGATAGAGAGACCGAGTCCTTTGGACGCACACCTGGACGATTTTGTAAGACCGTGTCGTTTGTCGTTTTTTGCTGTGCCGGCTGTGGTATAGGGTATTTTTTGGTACAAAGGAATTTGGAGAGCAATCAGCAACCCGACCAAACAAAAATGGTTTGTCTCAAGCAAGGATGAAACTTTGGAAATAGCTACAGCACCATGTGATAGTATTTTGAATATAGTATTAAACAAACACATGTAAAACATTAGTATTCGCATGTCCGTTTTCTCCGAAGCATGTTCAATCCCCTGCAAAACGAGAAGGAATAAGAACAATGATAACCCCCGATGACTCTTGTGGAAAACCCTTGACATGTGAGACGTGGTGTGAAGAAAACGCGTGCACACACAAACCGAAAACCTACTACTGTTCCAAATTGGGAGGGTTTGGACGGCTGTAGCCTTGTGCTAAAGCATTATTGTGCCACATGGTTTTCCAACTTGCACCAGGCATGAAAACGATAGCAAAACGATACCACAGCGAACCTAAACCACCTTTCCGTAGGCAGGCCACCACATGGGCGTAGTTTGAATGAAGTGTGCCTAATGTCTTCATGCCTGCAAGGTTCCACACCACATGCATGTAGTGCACACACTATATTATATACTACATATGTTGCAGTTAGTCAAAGCGCTGTAAAACGATAAGGAAGAAAACAACATAACGTCAAAAGTATAGGGAAAGGTAGAGGATGTTTTTTTTTACACAACCTCATGTCATATGTGTTTGAAATTTCCCTCAGGTATCCTCAGGTCTTTCCCTGAGTGGGACAAGCATCGGCAGACCCAACCGGACTCGTGTTTGGCGCGGTTCCTGAACAGGTCCCACCCCGAGCAAAAGCGCCGGGACTCGTTTGATGTTTGCTCAGGTTTAAGCTGAAGAACCGTGAGTTCGCTGTGGACGTGGATGCCTCGCAAGTGCAGTGCGGCATGAATGGGGCCATGTACTTCGTGGAGATGGATGCAGCCGGTGGCAAAGGCCTGGGGTCCAACAAGGCGCTGCGGCAAACAGTTCCGAAATCGGAGCATGGGCAACTGGTAGGAAAGGATGGAAAGGGCATGTAACACGAATTCCTGACATTTAGTGTGAACGAGGCGGAGAGGTTTGTTTTCCAAGTCTGAGAGTGGTCCAGATGCCGTCCTTATTTTGAGGTCACGCGACCTGGCTGATGTAACCAGGATCAATCCCAACATTTTGTCATCCTTCACGGTACTAATGGGTACTATGCTTGGAGAGATCCCGTCCTTTTTCTGCCTTGGTGAACTTGCGAACTCATTGGAAGTGCTCCGTTTGGTCTCTCTGCTCTTGGCGGTTGTTTCCCTAGCTAAGAAGAACCGTTCCCCGCTCCGGTCTGAGAGGTCTGACACATCACTGGGTGGTGATTGAGAGTATTGGTGCTATCTCCTTATTTGGGAAGTGTTATCTCAATCGACAAATGCTTAAGTCCAACATAGTTCAATCATACAGATAATGTGTAATGAAATCATCAGAGGACATTATGGAGCCTTGGGCCTTTGGTAGATCCATTCTCGTGATTCCTCGTGACAGAAAGCCAGGCCGGTGCAATGTATGGTACAGGCTACTGTCACTTGCATTGACTGAGATGATGGGTGGTCTTTGGGAGAGATGTGCAAATGATTGCAAAAGCAGCCTTCTGGATGCCTGAGTATCCGTGACATAATTGGGGGTATATATATAGTTTTTGTGATAGAAAGCAAAGCAGATTAAGCTCAGACTGCACAACATATCATGGTCCATTGAGTTTGTGGAAGAACTAAGAACACGCACTTGCGCCTTTCTATCCTTTCAATCATTGACCTGTGTGTGCCCGCCACAAAAATCTGTAAAAGGCTGGGAAGACTTTGTTCCTCTTAGAAGAATCAAGACCGTGAAGCAGTGTGTTTTGCCCCCATGGTTCCGTTCACATGTCTTCCAACCCCCTTAAGGAAGCTCTACCATCCCGGACCCCCTTTCGAAACACTGTCGAACATGGTCCAACTGCCGTGTTCGTCACGGCGTCGAAACGGGTGAGGACCACCGGGTAGACCCCGCCTCGTCGACCGGCGAGGCGATGTTTCATCGCTCGCCCGCACGTCTCGTGAAGACCGATGCTCGTGGTACCTGGACCCTCAGGTGATGCCCAGTGCCCTCGGGATGTGAAGTTCATGTCGGGAAAGGCGAACCTCGACCGGAGCCATGGCTCCTGTTGCGCAGAGATGGAACCTGGGCAGGATTTGGAGACCCAATGCACCGTTGTAGGACCTAATATAGCTATAGTTTCTATAGCAGAGAAACCAAATGAGACAGAGTTGTTGTCAGTTCACTTCTTCTCGTGAGGTGTGGTTCTCGCGCGTGGGAGTTCGTTTGACCGTGGTGAAATTGTTGATGCTCTTTGCATTGTTGAATTAGACTGCTGCTTGTTTTAACGTAATGTTTTAATTGTACATCTTGTTTCTTTTGTTCTGTAATCGCATTGCATTTACCGCGCAAGCCTCTGAGGACATTTGGGAGGCCAACAACAAAGCCACCTCGTATACAGCGCACCCATGCAAGATCGATACTGCAGGTCCCTATATTTGTGAAGGAGTGGATTGTGCCGACAGCGGCAGCGGCAATGAGTTGAAAGGACTTTGCGACAAGGCAGCAGGGCCTAGGGCCAGCAGTATAGATGTCATTTCACCTCACATGTGAAAAACGTGTTTCTCAGAATTGCAGGTCGGACTTGCAAGTCGTTCTGCAAGGATAAAGCAAGCCGTTGATAGCCAGTAATTAATATGTTCAGGTTCCTGTACCATATTTGAACTTCATTTGGCACCTTTGTCGAGTTGAGCGGAGACGAGCCAGGGGCAGAAAGGTGACCAGCTAACAATTGAACAAGCTGCATGATGTGCATGTGTTTTGTGAACTTGGAGTCATGTTCCAGACACGACAAATGGGACTCAATTGACCCCTAAACGCATCCGCCCACGCGGAACCTTGAAACTGCCCACACCCCAGGCTTAAAGGTCCCCTATAATGTAGGGATCTACATCCCTTCTCAGAAGATACTTGAACCCTCGAAGGCTAGGTAAAAGTGTCGAACAGATCACCCTCCAAGGCTAGGGTGGCAGTGGATCCAGAGGGTATCTTGACATCGGCCCTGAACAGCAACGACTGGACGCAGCGACGGTCCCACCCGACACGAGAAGCTCGCACAAGCCCGGCAGGCCGGGTGTGACATCAACCCCTTCCGCGATGGGGACACAGACTTTTGGGGCGAAGGAGAGGGCTTTGCCTCTTGGAAGCCTGGCGTCTGACAGCGAACCAAGAACCAAACAGGTATACTTTTTCTTCTGTACCTGAGGTGCACCTGACCTGTGTCATGAGCCCTTTGGAAAATGGGCCCTCAGTGCCTAATGACTTGTTTTTGGGGGTGGCAGTTCCCTGTCTCCAGGCTACACTAATGTCAATGGGCACAGTGACTGCGGACTGCAGTGACTGCAGACATCTGCAGACACTAAGAGGGTGTAGAATTGCCGTCCACGAATGGACGAACCGCACAGAAATACCAACCTTCCCCACGCGACGCAAGAAGGCCACGCGGCAGCGAATGCACCAGGATTCTCCTCGCCCACTTAGTCACCATGTCCCAGTTGATGCGGTTATTTAAGTGACGACCTTGGACTTCCGCGTGGAACTCCTGGCATTACTGCGAGGAGCAAGAAGCTACTAGGAACAAGGGCATCGCTAGTAGGAACAAGAAGCTACTAGCAATGTTGTGTCTATTTTCTTTTTGGATCCTGCCATCAGGGGTCACCTGACTGGGCAAACCAGGAGCGCAGGAATACAAACTCAAACACGTCTCCGGATCTAGGTATGTGTTGGATCATGCGTGATGATTTGCATGGCTGCATGGTCCAGACTCCAGGTAGAATCATCCTGGCATCATCCTGGCACTTGCAGGGCATCTCCAGATTTTGCGAGATATATTTCCCGAAGGGCTCCAATCACATCCTGACAAGTTAGACCCCCCTGGCACCCACCCCAATCACATTCTTTTCGGATGTGGGCCAGGAGCCATAGGGAATACCAGTTTCATGGGCATTTCACGGCATTTCCATGAAAACTCTCACCTCATCCATTGTCTTCAACCTGAACCCTCCAAAGTACCTTAGAAAATAGCATACGACTCTATAAAGACAAGTACGTGTGCTCATTTTACAGGTCGACTCCATGTACTGTGATTTCAGAGTAAATGACACAATCCCCAATGTCGGTGATTCATATGAACGTCCATATCAAAGACATCTTTGGGTGCAAGTGCCATCTAACCTCTGAAACCACTGTATATGCCCTAGGGCTCCTGGCCCATATCCTCAGGTTCGGTGGTTAGACCCCCCTGGCACCCACCCCAACCACCTTCTCCTCACGGAGGTAGGCCAGGAGCCCTCCAAGCTGTTCACTCACAGGTCCTGGATTCCTCCAAGCCGGTCACCGTGGTGACACAGTTCGTGACCGACGACGGCACCGACGCCGGCGACTTGGTGGAGATCCGGCGCTTCTACCTGCAGCTCGGTGAGGAGGCCTCAGCTACTGGGAGGGGATGCCATAGGTGATGGGCGTAGGAAAACCTGGTGTGTTCGCTTTTGTAAACTCTATAGTACGGTGTTTGTTATGTTTTTGTACGTATGTTTTTTGTCAAAGTAAGGCAAGGTAGTGTCCGGTAGTGTCCTTTCCATCTATATAAGCAGTTTTACGCCTGCTTTGATGTGTGTTTGTTATGATATATGATATTTTGGTAGAGACCCAAAAAGCATCTTCAAACCGCTCGAATCCTTGTGGCGGCTGTCCGTGCTGCTTGTTGGATCTACTGATCTACTGTATATTCTTAGTGCTCTACTCTACTCTTTCTTGTTTCCCAACACTTTATGCTGAAATACTCTACAATACGTATATAAATGTATGTTCTGAACACCAACTCAAATTCCCGCGATACATACCTGCAGCCTGGAGCACCTATATGCCAAAATCTAGTCGTTTTAGATTGTTTGATCGACCATCAAAGAACTAAATCCAAAACCTGTCTGCCGGAGGGCACTCCAAGGATTCCAAAGTCTATTGAATAACAACACCAAAGTTGCGCCAAAAAGTTGAGCGTTTGCGTCATGTTGTTGATCGTTTGCGTTGTATTTTTGGTTGTTGTTTCAGGTGGTTCACACAACGGCGTTGTGTTTCTATAGTCGTTTGTGTTGTGTGTCTAATCGTTTGCATCATGTTTTTAAATGTTGTGTTGTGTTTTTCAAGCATTTGGGTGTCTCCAGCTCATTTCCGGTAAGGTTTCCACATAGGGAACGCAGTCCTTGATCTGTTTTTATCGTTTTAGCATGTTTTAGCCAAACACCAAAAAAACAGAACACCAATGCCATGTGGCGTCTCAAAACTGATTGGCACTCAAAAAACTGTGATCATTTGGCGTTCCAGGTCCGTCACTTAGTGTAGATGAAACATCAAGTACTGCAACATCCCGGAACATGTTGTGCGTTTCGTTGTGCCAGAAACCTTCATGATTAAACTGCAACTGCCCAACATGGTGGGCTTGAGTTCCGCAGTATACTGCTATATGTGTGCGCGTGGCTGTTGCGCTGTGGCGCGCCGGGGTCCATCCTGAATCGCTGGGAATCGGAGATGGTTCTCGCTGATGGTTGGCCAAAGAACATACGGCGACATGCGGTTTTCCTTGGCGTGAACCAAGGCAAGATGGCAAAGTCATTGAAAGTCCTTCCATCGACATTGCTCCTGGCAGCCCTGCGTCCATGACCGACCAAATGTGCGATGAAGTCAAGAAGGTCTTTGAGAACCCGAATGACTTCAAAGCTAAGGGAGGGCTGAAGGCAGGCATCTTCTTGTTTTTTTTGTGGTGGTGGTTCTGGAAGATACAAGAAATCGGAGCCAAACCATTCCAGCACCGACTGCAAAGCCATGGAAAACCTCCCCAACCAGGCTAGAAAGGGGTGCAGTGCATGACATGAGAATCCTTGGCAGGCCATGGGAGAATCCTTGGGTCGTGGACACGTCGCCACATTCTCTCTCTGGGATGATGTGAGTGTTCGAATGATGTGGCTGGATTCCTGCTTCCCAACGGCCTCTCGACGGCTAGATCGCTTGTTTGTCATGCTGACACTGTGGCAGAGCAATTTCAGAGCAATTTGTGCAAGCATCATGATTTGATAGATTCTGATTGATGTTGACAGTATAACATCAGCATATATATATATATAATATATATATGCATGTATCTATATATATTTATATGCATGTTCAATTTTATGATATTTATGCAACCTTAGAATCACAACCAATGGCAGTTTATCTGGAAAACCAATTGCATACTTCTTTTGATACTTGCTTTTGATGCCAACCTTTGATGGCGAGCAAGGACCTGGACTGTTCGGCGCCCGGTGTGCATCGTGGTCCCTGCGCGGGCGGAGATCAGAGCGCTCCCGACTTCGTCCGAAGCCACTATGGCACAGGCTGGGTCTCCTATGCCAACGTGGCCTTCGGTGAGATTGGCACCACACAGCAGCAGTACCCAGGCTCACCACCTGCTCCGGCGCCCACCCCGCAGCCGCAGCCTCCAGCTCCAACGCCACCTCCAGCTCCCACACCTACACCAGCTCCAACGCCTGCTCCCACACCTACACCAGCTCCAAAGCCTGCTCCCAGACCTGTTCCAACACCATCAACGAGTTGTGCCTCAGAATGGCAACAGTGTGGTGGCCTTGATTTTGAGGGGCCAACCTGCTGCAGTGATGGACTTGCATGCATCATAAGCAACGAGTATTACTCCCAATGTCGCCCTGCAGATCACTCGAAGAATGCTGGCCAAGTAGCTAACAAGCATACAGATCACTCGAAGAGTGTTGGCCAAAAATCTCACAAGCAGAAGTTCTTGGGAGTCGTTGACATTTCGTTTCCTGGCAGAATCGTTCCCGGCCTAGAGTCGTGAGCCAACAATTCCTAAATGCATCAAAGGGTTGTCGTTGTCAATCATTGTTAGATACAGAACGATATGGAAGACATGTGTCTAGGAGTTGTTATTCGCAGCACACCAGTGGAACCAACGTCCAAGTGGAATGCTTCTCTTTTGCACCCCATGTTGCCTCACAAGAGTAGGTTTGGAGCAGGGAAACAGGTGGACACTGCCCTACTTGTCCTTGGATACCTTGGTGAAGCTTAAAACGAGTCGTCACAGAGAGGCCTCCCTAGCTGTGTCGCTCAGACAGAGCAGCCAAAGCGGACCAACGATGGAGACGATGCGGACCGACGGTGTCGATGGGGCGACCAAGATCTGATCGGATCTTGAAGAGTTTGATCGGTCTCATAACTCGCATGCCTTCCATATTCTGACTAACAGCATGAACTGACCACCCGAAAAGACGAGAAACATCCACTGGCCCCCAACCACTTGACTTGACCATTGAATCATCCGTGTTCGAAGAAGGCTGTTGAGGTTCTGCCAGCGCACCATGCGCCTTGAGGTTAGACGACGACGGGAGCTTGTTGCAACTGCCTGAGACGTGCGCATCGGAGACTCAGACGGTGCGTCAAGACGTCTCGACCGTGTTTTGACATGTTCGAAGAAATCGTGTTTTTCGCCGTGTTGTTTTCCGGGTACCAGGCACTTGGGGATATCCAGTGGGATATCCTGGATCGTTTTCTGCAGGTGGTCTATGGGATATTCACGAAAGCTAGCCTTAGCTAGCTGGAGTTGCTCTTGCTTTAGCAAGTTAAGTGACGGGGTGGACGCACCTCAGAAACCTCAAATAATTGATTAAATCAATCTTATGGACCCCCCCCCCCCGCGGTTCGACTCCCCCCTGCGCGCGGTGAGCGGGACCACCAAGCAGCTGCAGCACACCAAGCATCTGCAGCGCCCAGCGCAGCAGCGGCAGCAGCGGCAGCAGCAGCAGCAGCACCAGCAGCAGCAGCAGACCACCCAGCGGCGGCAGCAGCAGCGGCAGCAGCATACCCAACGCCGCGGCAGCAGCAGCCGCAGCAGACCACCCAGCGCCAGCAGCAGCAGCAGCAGCAGACGACCCGGCGCCTGCAGAGCAGCAGCAGCACCAGCAGCAGCAGCACCAGCAGCAGACCACCGGAAGCCCGGCTAGCTTTCGTTCACCCCCTCTGGCCTCAAGTAGTCTATCCGCCGTATGTTCCTTCCAGAGTTTTCGAGTAAGTTGTATTGGCACATACCGTTCGAGTCGATGATCATGTAGGGTTTTACGGACCAACCACAAAAAAGGGCACGGACCATGGGGGTGATTTCTCATACCGGAGTAGTGATCGAAGACTTCCTGGTAAGGCCAAACAGCTTCCTTCCGGCCTTCGGTCTTGGAAGAGACAACACTTTGCACCCGAACTCATCATCCCTAGGGATCCAGTCGTACCGAACTTCAAAAGGTACTTGGACCCTCCTGGCACCCACTCCAAGCACCTTCTCAGAGGGTACGACTGGATCCTTAGGGCATGAGTACTGTTTGTTCTACTTTCCAACCACGCCTTCAAAAACCCACCGCTATGACCCGCTGATGGTCATGAACTTCCAAGCACAGAGTGAACAGTATACGGTCAACACTAAGCGGTCTACAAACAGTCACCACAGTCTTCTCTGTCAAACTCATATGCACCAATGATTGTTCAATTGTTCTGGCTTGGATCACCTACTATAGCTACTGAAGCGCCCAGCTAGTCACAACTTGTGTGGCGAGTAGTGGGAAGAAACAGGCCATTCTGGGGGCCTAAAAAAAAACCCGAGACCACATTGACATGGCACTCCAAAGCTATAGAGATTATATGAGGAGACCCCGTTTACGCGGGGTAGTGTAGTTGGACCCTAACAGCAAGGGGGTGGTGTTTGAACCCATCCTGGTAAAGCCAAGACAGGCTCTCCTGAAAAGTTTGGACGCATCCCTCACGGCCTGAGGACTGATGCGATGTCCATCGATTTTCATCGTTTTTTCTTAGTGCTGCCTGGCTGCGCCGAATGGGCTGCGCCGGGGGTTCCTGAAAATGGCTTGAAGGAAAAAAGACCGTATGGATCCGTATGGTGGGAGATGGGATGGTTTAACCCCGTGGAGGACCGAAACTTTCGGCCCATGCGATGTCCTTTAGACGTAGCACGTCATAAGTCAGATTCACAGGATCTCACAGGTTTGGTTGCTGGACAGTAGTAGAACCTTGAATTGACGGACAGACTGATGGGCCTGCCCAAATCTCCATCAGAGAGTCACAGGCTCGGAATTGTTCCTTTGGACACGGGCTTATCCATTAGCAATGCATCACAGAGGTCAATCCTCCCGGAATTGGCTTGAACATGCTTGAACGATGGAGCTACACCCGGGAAAATAAACATGGAACCTGAACATGGACCTTTGGAAGACGATTTGCCTCTACAAACCAGTGGTTTTCAGGTTCCATTTTAATCTTCCAGACTGTAACTCTATTCACATCAGAAGTTGGACCTTCTGCCCCTAACCTGTGCGGCATGGGTCCCTGGGGTCCTTGGATTCTCAAGAGACGCTCCGTGGAGTCTCCCAACTGCACGTAGCCCGTAGCCCGAACATTGTGGGGGCCGGGAGCCTCTTGGGATCAGAGCCTGTTGGGAGCCTCTGGGTGTAGAATGCATTTACATCGCTGCAGCGGCGAATTCAAAGTGGTCATGGTCATGCGCGCCGACTGGGACACCACTCGGCTGGGACTACTCCAACCATTGACAATCTGATGTTCTCTTCTCACACTATAGGGTACCAACCGCTAGGATGGGTACTATCGGGTGGAACTGCGCAAACTGCGGAAACCAAGAGCGGGCAACCAAAACATGCCCCAAACCCGTCGGGTTTGAGGTGTCGGCTCGCTTGACTGGTTGGAGCCGTGCCAGGAGAAGTGCCCTGGTGTGATCAGCGGGATCCGCGAGTGGCCCGGACTCCCGGCGACGCGCAGAGGCGCTGAAACGACCAAGCAGGAGTCCGCGTGCTTGGCGTCCGCGTGCTTGGTCGTGGTGATGGGAGGTGATCTAAATCAGCTTGGGATTGGATGATGTTTGATGGATGTAGTACTGGATGATACTGGATGTATCTGAAGGTTGTTGCTTTTATAAGCTATATATGGTCATCTATCGTTTGCTGCGAGTTCGTTCTTCGCACCTCCCGACCACCGGTCATTACAGGTTCGCTTGGTGTGTTGGGGTTCCAGTTGGCTCAACCACCGGAGCTCTGGAGATCCGGTCTGGAGCGGAGGTAGTCGCCCATGGAGACAGAGGATGCACAGATGCACTCCGGATTCTCGATCTCAAAAATGAGACCGCGTCTCTCTTCTCTATATAAAGACTTTGTTAGACCAGAGCCTCAAAATCCCGCACAAAACCATCTCGGAACCCGCCAGCGTGCGAGGTTTCGATGGTACAAGACTCCCGATGGCAAGCCCCTGAACGCCTTCGGCTACGAGGCCTGGCCATGTGTCGCGCCCCATGTGGGTTCGTGGAGTTCGGACCATGCGTGTTCCCTACACCTCCAGTCGTACCTCCTCAGAAGCTACGACTGGAGGCCAAACGGCTTTGGCATGCCGCTGGGGGTTGGACCCTTTTCCAACCGAAGATCGATCCAATGGCTCCGAACCGGGATGACCGGTGGCACCGGAAGGTCCCAGTGGCGGTGCCGTCCTCACCGTTGGAGAACTCACCACACTCTCGCTCCGACCTGCCGGGCTTGAGAGGGGTTTCCTGGAGTCCAGGAACCACTTCAGGGGTGAATGTTTATCGTGTTATCGTTGTTCACGCAGTTCTAGTTTGTTGTTGTTGTTGTTGTTGTTACATTGTTGTTGTTGTTGTTGTGGTGGTGGTGGTGGTGGTTGTGGTTGTTCTTTGTTTGGACCCATGACATAAAGAGGGTGCACAAAGATCACCAAGCAACAATGGTTTCATGTGCTTGGACAAGAAGTATGCATATGTTTTCCTTTTTAAAAAGCAGATAACTTGCCATTGTTGATGGGCAAGCTAAGAGTCATAATGATGTGCACTTTGACCTGCAGTTGTCTTTGGGGAAGAGGGGAATTCAAAGTAGTTTTTCATGTCCCTCAAGGGTTTTGATTGCTATTGCGGGGATACTTCGATACAAACCTGTCCAGCTTGATCACCGCAGGCCGGTCGAAGGAAGTGGTCAGTCGAAGAGGGCTCTTGAAAAGGAGACGATGGAAACATCAATGACAAGAGTGACAAGAGTAGATAAACTGGCTGTTGGATGTTTGATCTAGCTCCTCGTCTTATATATGTGCAATGTCCAGACATGAAGTGTTTTCATGTGTTTTGAGAGTCGAGACACCTGGACAATCTCCACCTCTTTTGCATGACTCAATGACTCTCACCTCGTTTGGGGACAGCGGGTCGCCGGCACAGGAGAAGGCGTTGGACAAGAAATTTGCTCTTGAGGCCCGTGGGTCTGCGTGGGATGTCGGTAGCTTTGGGTGTAGTCGTGGGTGGTCTAGGACTATACTCAGACTACCATGCGCAGGGCGGCGCAGATGAGCCACCAGAGGTGTGATGGCTGGTGGTGTCGTCCCCCATCCTGACGCTCGGTCGCCCGGTGCTTTCCCTCCACACCGAGCGACATAGCCTTGTGGGCCCTTTGGGGATGGAAAAAAACACACACACATTGTCTGTGGAAAAAACGGACATGTCAAAACGATGGAACATGCTGAACAATGGAACCATGGTGTTTCCATATCAAAACACATGCAATGTTGATGTATGTTGGTCCTTTGGAAAACAGTATACACCCAACGTTCCCAGCCGGAAAGGAACCGTCCTTCGACTCGCTCCTCGCGACTTCCCGACTGGTCGTAGCCACCGAGTTGGTCTCCCAGGGTGCGGGATGGCGCTTCACCGATTCATGACCCAACCAATCGGACTTTCGGCCTCAAGCTTCGTTGTCCCCTGCGAAAGTCCAGTGATGGGGGGAAAAGAAGAACAACCATCATGGAAGCTGATGGAGCTGATGCGGAGATACTATCCAACATCCAGTGAACACTAAAATTTGGTTATAGCAACCCAGATCCATTGCTTGCTCCTGGTTCATGGAATGACACGGAAATGCTTCACAGTTGGACATGCGAACTTCGCGTCCCGTGATCCGTCGAACCAATCTGTACTGAGAGATCCTGTTTGATGCCTGGTTGGTCAATGTCCTTTGCGTTGCTTCTGCAAAAAGCAGAGAACTCAGGTGGGCCCTTGACCCATTGACTTTGTTCCCTACTGCGGTGACACAATAATCACAAGCACAAATACAGCCGCCACGAGGGCCAAGTTGTACCTGAAAATCATGGGTTTGGTGATGTTTGGTGGTCATGACCTCATGACGAATTATGCAGTGAAAACGTTGTGTACTTTGCCACTCCAATAAAGATGTGACAGAAGTGACACAGTTCAACCACTATGTGCCATGCCGCTATGTGTTGCATTTATACCGGGCCGGTTATTCAACACCTGCAACGACAACCCTGGCCCAGGCAGACACAGCAAGCAAGCAACAATCACCTTGAGCTGGACCAACTTGTTTAACCCTGACAAACAGGGCACCATGGATGGGGATTAGAAGACACCCTTCACAGAACTTCAGCTCGTCCACCTCGGTCACGACAGGTCATTGAGGAGACTCATGATGCCTGGAAGAAACTCCGCGATGGTAGCACCGACAAGGGAAAACTGTGGATTGGAAAGTGAGCGATAAACTAGTTCTTTGAATTGAACATGGTGATTAAGCATCTAGAGTCTTTGTTGTCTTTGTTATCGTTTATCTCATGAGGACCTGCAAATTTCAGTGCATGTACATATACTACAACCGTATATAACCGTTAAAGACCTAAAAAAAAAGTGAACAATGATAGATTACAATGTTTCCCTATATGGACCTGAAATCTTAGTCCTTTGGTGCTTGAACGGGACACGCCTTGCAGCGGCAACCATATGTATAGAACGAGGAGAAGAACCGATGTATCGAATGCCTGGACGCAGGTGTTTCAATGCTAACTTGATACATTAAACCCAAAATAGATAGAGTCAAGTAGAACCCCACGTAGAAAATGTATTGGACACCATTTTGATTGTCTTTCTGTGTAAGGGGACCACGATATGTTATTTCATGTGTTTCATTCAAGTTATGCGAGTTATGGGAGTTTTTGAATGGAGCTTATCTTCTATCTTCGGGGTACACATGTTCACCGGCTGGGCATGTTCACATGTCCACACAGGGAATCGCCCAAAGGCTCCTCCTCCCTTCACCCGGCGAGCGGCGCTTGCTCCGCGCTCCGCTCCGGAATCCATGGCGACGTTCCAAACCCGGACTCAACTCGACTCGAGCCGACTCGCGCCTTCTCTTGTGTGGTGATTTTTGGAGTGATTTGGATGGCCCGCAACTGGGTGGAGCCCCCTGGCAATGAGGATTAAGATGGTTTTTGTGTGGGTTTTCCGGGTGACTCCCAGTCGTGTCGTCCGCATGATCAGCTCGAAGAAGCCAATCCATGTAGCGGGCCTGTGGGCCGTAGCACGACGTCGTGTCACCCTAGTGATCGACCGGTCGTTCCCCTGGTGCAAGTGGTTCAAAGAGACTGGTAACAGTCGACTGGCCATTGACCCCAAAGGAACGCAATAGAGACTCATATTCATGTTGCATTACGATTTCAGCATTCCACTGGTTCCATTCACAGGCCTATTGAGGAGTCACTCAGCTGTTGTAGACTCTGGGAACATGTCCAGATGTTGGCACCAACAGATTTGAGTTGCACATGAGGTCTGTCTACTACCCAGACACTCCGGTATATTTACCGGTTGATTTTAGGGTTATGTAATTTGCAGTTCTCTTCATTTCTGCAACCCAATACGGTGGTGCGAAATCCTGTCCTTCACGAAAAGTCCCTGGGACCGCTGAGAATCGGACATCT